CCGTAAATACTATTCTTTACGTCTGTTGCACAATAGCAAAAAAGGGTCAAGGTATATGATGACAAAGAATGAAAAAGAAAGGGCAACACACGACCCTAACCGCCCTCCCAATTATCAGCAAGCCGTCGAACTTCTCATAATAAGGAAAAGTTCTGTGTGCTGTATTATTATATGTTCGCATAGAGAAACCTTTGTTCAAGGTTTCGACAATTGTATTACGATGAACGAGCCATTATTTCATAAATTGTCTTTCTTTGACACTTCAGATCAAAAGTACATAAAATCACTTGCATAAAATGCTTGGGGCAGCTGGCGAGTCCCCATATATGTATATATATACCGGTATATATAAGCCCTTCTCTCAACTGGAAACAATAAAACCAACACGCCTTACTTTCTTGAACCTAAGTAGCTTAGAGTGTTGAATGTACTACGTATAACTTTTCCGCTCTATAGCAATCAAGAATACACAGTGCTTCGTTTTTTAAAATTAAAAACTGTCGATTTTAGTGAAAGTAGGCAAGGCAGTGGCTGCCCACTGTTCACTCAGTTCTTAAGTAGGCTTATTTTCTTGCAGATCATTCTGTGATTAATCGAGCTGGCCTAACTTTGAGCTACAAGTGTACGGTAAAAGCCTAGGTGTCATAATTTTTAGGCAGACGAAAGTCAACATAGGCATATACTACCAAACTTACACCTGGTCTGATTATATTTACATGTCACACACGGGTCGTGGCCTACTTTGGAACTATCAAATTAAGATTTAATCATGAGATATAATTTTCTATGGATATCAAATATGGGTCACAGTAATTAGGTTTATCCATTGTTGATAGGCCGGCTTAAGTAAGCTTTACAAAGAAGCACCTACAAATCCGACTTGAGACCAAAAAACGTTGATCAAATAGGCTGTTGTCCATGGGATACTGTATCTAAATAGTTGTGGAATCTCTTGGCATGTGCTTAGTTTAATTAATCCTTCAAATATTCTGTCGAATTTGGTATCAAACGTTTCGACGACACTTCAAAGAGGCATGGCTTTGTGTTCTTTTACTATAGGATGCGCCTTTCGTGTGAACCGTAGTTGACCTGACTGTTGGCACATGTCGAAGCATTGCCCTGGGGAACGGTCTCAGTATATTATGAGGCAGGATAAAGGGAGAAGACTCAATGCTCTTGTGGAGCGGGGATGATGGTTCCATCTATGATAAGCTTCACCTTTTATAGTTAAAAAAGTAAAAATTTAAGATAAAAAATAAATAGAGAAATAAAATTAAAATAAAGCTTACTTAAGAGGCCTAAATTTAGTATGTATGTTCATCCAGATTAAATTCTTTTTGCGGAAGAAGCTCGTAATGAAACCTTCAATTTAAAGCTGGCGCTACAACTGGAAGAAGAAGAAGAAGGAGAAGAAGAAGAAGAAGAAGAAGAACAAGAGCAAGAACAAAAGAAGAAGAGGAAGAACAAAAGAAGAAGAGGAAGAAAAGAACAACAACAGGAATAACAACAAAAGGAAGAAGAAAACTTAGTGATTTAGTGGAACCTTGAGGAACTGGTACTCGGGTAAAACGAATTATTAAATTTGGTCTTTTGGAGCTGGGCTTAATTACTGAAAGTTTGTTCTTGAGCTGGGTCCGGAAACAAGTACTCGGTGGTATTATGCATTTTCGAGATAGGTTGCAGGATGGAATCTCGGTGTCACGCAGAGATGGGCCTATGGAGAGGTCTCAGTGGTGTCGAAAAGCTGGGTTTTAGTAAGAAAAAAAAAGTGCAGCTAGGGAATGGAGTAAAGACTCCGTTGCATTGTGTAGTGAAGATAGATTCCAACAAAACTTAGGACGTCTAGACCTAGGGAGAGGAATTAGTAGATTGTGAAGCCGGGCCTCTGAAGAACAGGTGAATGAATAGTGATAGTTGAAAGAGTTGAGACTATAAAAGTTACAATTTCCGCATTTTACGTCAGAAATTACTATCCTGACCTACACATATTGTTGATCTCAACACAACTATCTTCATTTAAATACTTTAACATAATATGGCTGCAATGCAAAGTGTTAGAATTCTTACAAAATCAAATGTTATATAAAGTGGACCTATAAGCATTGTGATAGTGAAGATTTACCTTTCAGTTCTTCCAGTAACAAGGTGGTAGTTTGAAGTCATATGATATGATTTTTCCTCACAACTAAAAGCACTTCCCAAACTCCAATAATCAAGTCGCTCTTGCATGTTAGTAACTTGGTAAACTCGGACAGAACTCATAGGGCAACTCCAGACAATTCAAGCAGTCGTAGACAATCTTACGAGCTCTGGATACGTTAATAAATCAGGCGCACCGTATTCAACTCGGAAAACTCTGAAGTAACCCGTAGGGTACATCGATTACTCTTACTTATCTTGTAGACAACTCTGTAAACTCGTCTGGGGTTTTTTATCTACAAGTTTGCCGCCAGTTTTCTGCAAATCAACAAGAAAGCCCCTCTCCCACCTAGGTTTATTTCACCTAAGAGTCATACGATTTCTACGAGTTAAAACTCGTGATCTTTGGAAAGGACCTATACGAGCTTATTACGT